ACTTAATGCAAAAGCAAACCCTTCTGTATAGATTCATATGTCATATGCAAATCACAAGTTGGTGAGTCCTATCTATCTACATTGAGAGTGATAAGGTATACATTTATCTCTAGCATCCCAATTAAGCAGAATAGTAAGAATCTCCATGGCAATTATGAAAAGGTAAGGGGACAGTGGATCCCCCTACTTACCCCTTTTCAACTTTGAAGAACCCAAACAAACTGTTGTGTACAGTAACACTGAAATAAGCTAATGTAAGTCAAATTGATAACCAGTCTAAGAAATCAAGAGGGAATCTCATAGTCCTCATCACTTTAAACAAATAACTGCAACTCCCATAGTCAAAAGCTTTCATCAAGTCTATCTTTATTGCACTTCTAAAGGTAATTTATTTTTTATCAAAGTTTTGAACTATTTCTTGGCTCATCAGAATATTCTCTAGAATGCCTCTACCTTTTAGAAATGTTGATTGGTTTCTACTAATAACTAAAGTTAGTACCCTCTGTAACGTATTAGCCAGCACTTTTGAGATTATCTTATAAATGACACCGATACAAGCTATACGTCTATAGGCTGAGAGGCTATAAGAATTTGGAACCTTGGGAACTAGGGTTAAAGATGAAGAGTTTGTACCTTGTGGAATCTGCTTTCTCCTACAAAATTGTTTGATTCCAGCAACGATAAATGTGCCAATCACTTTGCAACACTTATGAAAATAACTCACCGTCCATCTATAAGTTCCCAGGGCCTTTGGTGCATCCATTTCAAATTTTTGACGATAGGAAACCAAGTTAGAGACGCGATAAAATCAATCTCTAATAGGGAAACTTCTATGAGCTCTTCTTCCATGATAGTTCCGCGCATAACGTCACGAGATCGTCTACAAGAGAGGACGAGAACATGTCGAGGGATGGCGCCGATGGAGCAAAAGAGAGTGGAAATGAGAGCTCTTCATCTTCTGTAATTTTTGGGAGTTTGTACTGCTGAGTTTAGCATTGAAGAAGGGAGGCATAAATCATGATGGAGAAGGTGGATAAATGGTTGAGCGAGGTTCCGGATTCGTACAAGCAGAGATGCAAGGAAAAGTTGAGGGATTAAGCCACACCAACTGACATGCTTGAATCAACATTTGATTAGATCATACCATTGGTTGCGAGTAGCAGGGTTGAAACAACCGGGTCAATCCAGGTATGAGCGAACCAAAGGGAAACCAAAAATATTTTGAGAACTGGCAGAGTGATTCAAGGGTGCATTAGGGCAAGCATGGTTGGGCTTATCATAGGCCTATAGTTCGATTCAGTTTGGAGAAACCGGCAAAACTGAATATTCTCCTTCCCCAGACCTCTCTCTCTCTCCTACCATCGCCATAGCTCTCCATTGTCATCTCCACCGCTCCAGCAACATGGCGACTCAAGTTATTAGGAGGGAAGAAATATATAACCGCCAACCCATAGTCGTCTGTATTCGGGAACTAACACGTAACTTCTCATTCTTCAGATGATAAGACAAATCTTTGTTTTTTACTCTTTTTCTTCACAATATCTGATACGCTTCATGAGGTTTTTGGTGTAGTTTCACGTCTTTTTAGTCTTCTTCATGAAAGTTGTGGTGTGATTTCACATATTTTTGGTCTAATTCATGATATTTGTGGTTAGCTTTATGAGTTTTCTTGTATGCTTCTGGAAACTTGTAGTCAGCTTGATGAGGTTTCTTTCTGGTATACTTTATGAGTTTTGTGATATGATGAACTTTGTAGTATTTGTGGTGTACGTGAAACACCCAGACCTTTTTCAAAAACCAAACCATAACTCAAACCGAAAAACGGTTACTCCGGAGCAACCCAAACCACATTTTAAAATAAACAAACTGACATTATTTAAGAATTTTAAACAAAAAGCCCCATCACTTGGGAAAAATATCAATCTCAAACACTTAAAACAACTTAACACAGAATCTCCAGCTTATACTCCAAACCGTGCAACAAAGTAATTAAGCTATTCTAACTCTAACTCCTCACGAGCTCCTTGACTTCTCATCAAAGCTGGTACGGCTGCTCGCCTCGTCTAGCTCCTTCTCGGGATCCACCTCGGCTAACGCTTCCTCAACCTGGTGACTGGTGAGTGAGAAGGGGTCAGTCTCGTCGTTACTTCCCAAGGTCTTTGCCTTAAGCAATTCCTTACTCAACACATTATTAGCGGGTTTCCTTTCTTAGATGAAATTTGTTCTCTCTTTCATCCTTAATACTTTAGTCCTTAATAGCTTATAGAAGTTCTCTACTTCTATCTTAACTTATACACACAAATACTAGGTACCACCGCATTACGTATCGCCGTCCGGTGTCCCTATCCTCAAGGCAATGGTACTGCGTTACGTATCGCCGTCCAGTCCACGCCCGGTCAACTATTGCGTTACGTATCGCCGTCCAGTAGTGACCCGACCATCTACCGCGTCCAGTAGTGTCCCAACCGCCCGGGTGTTCATCTACATACATACATACATCACATACATAGCACAACGCGTGCCTCCACCTTAAGTAGGCGGTGGGATGCCTCACACACATAATCGTGCTTACTCGAAAATTAACGAACATAACTTGAAATGAGAAAAAAATATAAACTAAAGATCTCGACGAAGATTTTACCCCCTTTACATTCACCTTATCTTCAAGCCAGCTGACTCGATGTCCCACCATCTATTGTGAGTTGAACCTTAGCCCCTTTGAAAACTCATAAGTGCTCGTAGTGGCCACGTTCATAACAAGTATTTATGTTGGACCTTTAAATCTCCAAAACCCAGGCCATTTCGTGACCCAGTTCCTGTCGTTCAGGAGCCAAAACAAAATCATGGAACCGTCTCATAATATTCCACCGTGAGCCTAAATCCTTATTGGTAAAATCCTACTGAACGAGTGTTTCCATGGCTAGCTCCATCTAACTTCAAAATTCCCTAATCTAGCCTTCCGTCTTTTATTATGGCTACTTTCTCCCTTACTATAATTACTACACCAACCTCTTCCATCTCTTTATCTCTTGCTATTGAGAGCCACGTACCAATTAAGTAGTTGGACAACCATGAGATCCATTCTAACGTCCAATTAAAATGGCGACAAGGCTAAGTCCATGATTGTATATACAACTACCGTAGGATACACCTTTCCATTATCACTTTAACATATAAATCATGCATGAACTCAAATCCCTTCTTGCACGTAGGTACGTCGAACTAACTAGCGAGTAGTGACTCTCTCTTTTTATTACTTTCTCTAGTTCCCAACACACCCACCAAATCATTACTATTACGTAAAGCGTAGGTGAATGGAGTAGCAGTATATAACTCATACCTTGACCGTTAACCCAATGCAGGTGGACGGCTACCTCATCGCCAATTTGGTCTACCTGTCGCGATCACAGTTCCTTTCATGCCGACCTCCGATATATATATCGGAATCCCCTAACCGCCCTCATCGTCGATCCTATCACCTGATAATCTTTCCCACCAAGCCATGTATATGATTTCCATGACCAAGATAAAGCCATGCTAACTAAAAGATGCAATCTATAAATCTGGCTTTACCTCGATTAGGAAGCCTCTTGGTTGGTCGTGTGTTATTAGCCTTATGTTGACCCCTTTCCGTCCATGTCATTCGCCCTCTTGATTTGAGCGATTCAAGGGAAGCTCAGGATTATGTCGACGTTGGAGCTGCTCCCACCGTTCCATGGTTGGATATCACCACCGCTATCATCGCCCCCTTTCATCTCCTTCCCTTTCCGGCTCACCGACTCCTAGCCCTTTTAAACTCTTAACTCCCCCTCAAGAATCCCACCGTTACATCAATTATAATCATGATAACCACTATCATCTTATTTAACGTAAAGCCAATTGCTTTATCTATCTAACGCCTAATTAAATGGGTTATCATAATATAATTATTGTCACCATGAGGGAGATGCAACCATGTAAGCCTACTAACGACCAAGTTATTTTAGCCTTTTCTCCAAGCCCAAGCGCATGCCTTCTCGTTGTCCATATAGTGTGGCCCAACTGTGTGTTGTATGGGGTTTTATTCCGACTTCTGTTCTCATAGTTGATGGTTAACTCAAAATCACGAATTTATCATAGGTTGAACCTTAACCAAAATTCAGGGTGTTACAATGTGTTACATTCTATGGCCTTTTATGAGGTATTGGTCCAATTTATTAGTTTTGTGGTGTGCTTTGCCTGTTTCTCGTATGGTTAGAGTTTTTTTTATCTGTTTCATGATACTTTTGGTCAACATAATGAGTTTTTGGTATGCTTATGGCAATATTCAGTCAGCTTTGAGTGTGCCGGTATGTTTTGTTAGTTATGTAGTGCGGTGGATATTTGGCCTGCTTTATGAGCTTTACGATATACTTTTTTGTGTTTTTTTATGTGATTTGTCATATTTCTAGTATGAGTTTTCTGTTTTGTTTTATGATACTTGTGATCGTTGTCAGTTTAAGATGAAATGAAGAATATAGGCATAGTATCACACAGATGTTGCTCTGATAATTTTTAACATATGACAAGCGTGCCCCTATTTTTAAAATCAACATTAAAATGTGGAAACATCCTCAAACATAGAAAATCAACAAAGAAAAAGATTTATGTTGGTTAGGTTAGTGTTAGCATCATGCTAACAAATTAGATTTTAGGAATTAGAGCTTAATTTGTAGAGCACCAAGTTGCAAATAAGAGACTGATCGAGCTTCCAACATCACAAGGCTTAACAATTTGGGTTTACTATTGAGGAGGTTTAGATTAATGATTAAGTTAGGACTTTCCATCTCACAAATAAGTTAATTTCTAGACCGATCGAGCTTCCAACATCACAAGACTTAACAATTTAAACTGACTATATTGAGAAGCGTTAGATTAATGATTAAGTTAGACATTCCGGCTCTTACTTGATCCCATTTTCCATAAAATTAAGATTTCATCATTCGGCACAAAAAGGATTAAACTATATATTACATCTGGTAGCACAAATGAAAAAGCAAACAAACTTTCTTTGCAGCAGGGCAGGTTGCTCTCAATTCCTTCCCAACTTAACAGACAAACAAAAAGTAACTTTGTTAGAAATGGGAAAACCCAATTCTTTCACTCCAAACACCAACCAATCCTTATCCGCATAACCAAAACAGTACCCTACAAATTACAAACTGCTCCATAATCAGTAATCACACACACACCCCTGCTTCTTCTCATCTACCCAAACAAATACCCCCAATTTATAATCCTTCTCCATTTGACCTCAAAATTATCATAACCTACAAACTAGTCATCCTTCACCTATTGGGTAGCTTCACTCTGCCTAGTTTGCCAAACAGATTGCTGGGTCTCCCTTCTCCTGTACCATTATGTCACCATCTCTGTACCAGCCTAACAAGGTCTTCTTTTTCCCATATTTTTTCAGAAAAGAAAACCCAACTAAAAGATGGAAAAATGTTTACTTCGCCTTACCCAGCAGCTTATCCCAGCTCCTCCGGCCGGTCGAGAGATTGGACCCGCCGGCGACCTGAAACCCACCGTAACCGGATCATGCACACACCAGTGGAACTCCGGGTCTCCACCCCTGGAACACTCTCCACAAACCACGCCTTCGCCTCGGCCCTCGCTCATCGGCGATCTGTCCCCCGAGTCCAGGCTCAGCGATTCCAGTCCCAGACGGGAGAGCAATCCCACGTTCATCAGGTACCTCTCCTTCTCCACTTGCAGCTCCTTCATCCGCCTCTCGTACCCGGACAGCCCCAAATCCAGCTCCCAAGGAAACCCGTACCCGTCCGTGCCTCGCCTCAGTAGCATCACGTTCCCCGGCAGATGGAAGCGGCGGCGGCGGTGGCTCTCCGCTGTTGTCCGCACCGCCGCGGGGCTCCTCCGCCTCCGTTCGCGCCTGGATCGCTTCAGGAGCACCAGGAAGAAATACCCCTTGTTCCGCATGACTGTGGAGAAGTTCGTCTTCTCCGTGACCGGGATTCGGAACCCGCGGCGATGCCTGTCGCCCACGTGGACGGAGAATTGGTGAAAGGCGAGCCCGATTCGGTTGCTGATGATCGATTTGAAGGCCTTGAAATTCATGGAAGGGAGGAGCACCACCCGGCCGACATTGATCTCTTGATCTCTGTCGAGCAGAACCACCGGGAACGACAGCTCCGACACCACCGCCGCAGCGATCGCCTCCTCCTCGTCCCTCATCGTGAAATTGAAGACCAGCAACGATTTCTACCCAAAAAAAAGAAGACCAGAAAGGATAGAGTGGGGATTGGGTAATTCACTAATTTGGGCGAAAAGCTCTACAGGGGAGAAAGCAGGGAACGGGGTTTGCATATATATGATATATCCATGGCGGGTTTTAAAAATTAAAACCATCTCTGGACAGTGGTGAAAGAAAGAGGAAGGCGGTGAGGGTATTTTGGGGAATAAAGAAAATAATTTAACGGCGTTACAGAGAACGTGAGCTCCGAGCCGAGTACTCAGAGAGACGGAGTATATAACCGCGGGTGACGCCAGGCTTGGGGGCCAAGGAAGCGAAACTCGGAGGTGAAACGACGCGGGATGAGGTCGTGTGAGGTTCTGAGAAGCTCGCAGCTCTATCTCGTCGGCGATGGACGAGACTGCCCGTGGAAACCGGTCAAATTGTACAGGGTACCCCTGCTTATCTGCAAGAAGAGCAGTAAGCCTTCTTCTTCTTCAAGCTCCAGTAATGGCTTCTCTGCCTCGGTTTCGTTATCAGTGGAGAAAGCAGCTGGGCCGGCGACCGCCTTCTCCATGGAAAGCCCACCCCGTGGGTATCGTAAAAATGTCGGGATTTGTCTCGTCAATCCCACTTCCAAAATGGTTCGAATTCGATTTAATGCCTTGAGATGATGTCTCCTTATTAGGGTTCTTCTTTGTTCCCCATTTTTCAGTTTAGTAATGGTGGTTGGTTTCCATACCTAATTTGCAATTAGATTTTCGCGGCGTCGAGGATAAACATCCCGGATACTTGGCAAATGCCTCAGGTACTCTCATTTTCTTATCTGGGTAGTCTTATCTAGTTGAACTGCAGGTCATGGCAATTTATCTGGGTTACCGCCATTTCTTTGTTTTGAAGTGATGGGTGGACTATTTTGTGGGATTTTCAATGAATCCAAAATTCAAATGGTTTACTATGACTATCTGGAAGTGACAGTGAATGTTAAAAGTGCTTGAATTTGTCAAGTCTGATAAACTCTCTATGATACTGTTGTTCAACAATGGCGTCTGTTAGGGAGGCCCTGACGAGGGAGAAGATCTCAGAAACGCGGCAATGAGAGAGTTGAGGGAGGAAACAGGAGTTACTTCAGCTGAGTTTCTTGCTGAGGTTAGATGCCATGCTTGTTATCTGGTTTACATATGACTTTGCCTGCTGCTGTGGGTTTTCATGAAGAACTTGGGGATTTTGTTGCAGGCACCCTACTGGCTGACTTATGATTTCCCACTTCCAATTAGAGACAGGCTTAATCGGAGATGGGGTACCAACTACAAGGGTCAAGCTCAAAAGTGGTGAGCACTGAGCAATGCATTTATAAGTCAACTACAACTATTAGCTCCGATGATATCCATACAATTGTTACCCTTCAGCACAATATAAAGTACATGCTGATACAGACCTTCTGGTTTGCACTTGGCCTTGATTGGGACTACAAATTTACTTTCTGTGTGATTATCTTCGCCGTGCCCAGAACAAAAGTTGACAGTATGTATCTTCTGTTAAAATGAAAGTTGGGGTTTCATTGGGATGCCCAGTCATGTTGATATCACGGTGTGATTAGTCTCTTCTAGCTGGCAGTAATGAATGTGTTCTCTGTTAGCAACTCTTTTTGCTCATTATGAACAATTTGTTGTGAGGCGAAAACAGGTTTCTTTTCAAGTTTACTGGAAAGGAGGAAGAAATTAACCTTTTGGGAGATGGATCTGAAAAGCCAGAATTCAAGCACTGGACATGGATGCCACCTGAGCAAGTCGTTGAACTTGTGAGTTAACTTAACCCTCATCATGAATATCATAAAAGCTTCTCCCTTTTGTCGCAGTTATGATTTACTGCTTATACACAGGAAAGAGTGTAACTTTCAAAAAAAATTATATACTTGTCTCCTGTTTGTTAAAACAGGCTGTGGATTTCAAGAAGCCAGTATATCAGGAAGTTATGGACTTGTTTAGTCCATTAATCCAGGCAGATGGCGATGCTAAACAAGATGAACGTTTTGTTAAAACAGGCTGTGCATTTCAAGAAGCCAGTATATCAGGAAGTTATGGACTTGTTTAATCCATTAATCCAGGATGATGGCGATGCAAAACTGCAAGACGAGACTAGTTCCAGACTCCATACCGAGCTATCTCCAGTAAAAACTAGAGGAGTTGGAGGAGGTACAGCCATCTCCAGCATCTGTTGTACCCGGCTGTGAATGTTGTTTTCATCCATCGAATATCTTATATCGATGTTTGGGAGAACCTATTTTAGAAAGAAACTCGAAGCAATTCGTTATTCTTGCCCGTGCTTCCCGAATTCAAAACTTTCAGAGGATCAAAGAAAACTTTCTGAAACGTTAACAATGACATTTTACATTATAATGTGTTGATGAATGCTGCAAAACAATCAATCTGATGGGAAGCCTTACCATCCACCAACCAAACCTTCTTCTCTTCGGAACACTGACTGTTTCCCTTTCCTTTTATCATTAAAGCACTCTCAATGCTAGTGCAATGCAACTCTTTCTAACAAGATATCAAAAATTGATTTCTTCTTTCCCTCACGTTGGCTACATTTTCCACTCCCTCATTTGCTTACTACTGCAGCCTCACAACAGTTGGATTATATATGGAAAGCCCACCTCATGGGTACCGGGAAAACGCTGGGATTTGTCTCATCAAATCCTATTTCAGAAATGGGGTGCTTCCTTGTTTGGGGTTTGCTTGTTCCCCCCTTTTTCAGTTCTAGTATTGGTGGTTTTCCAGTTCTCATCTGGACTTGGATTTAGGTTTCCTCGGCTTCAAGGACAAACATTCTGGTTGCTTGGCAAATGACTCACTTGCATGAACACCTTACCTGGGTAATAATATTATCCAGTTGAATTTCAGGTAATGGCAATTCATCTGGGTTACTGCCTTTTCTATGCTGCAAGTGATGGATAAATTCTGAAGCATTTCCAATCAACCCAAATTTCAATAGGTATATGAGTGAGTGGGTCTGGGAAATGTGTTAATATCTTGAAGTTGCAGTGGATCAACAAGTGGTTGAAATTTCTCCAAGTCTCTGACTTCTGCAATAATATCATTTAGCAATGGTATCTCTATTGCATTTATGAGAGGGAGGAAATGAGTGTTACTTCAGCTGAGTTTCTCGCTATGGAGACGGGGTACAAACTACGAAGGTCAAACTCATTAGTGGTACGAACAGTTTACGTCAAATGGAACGTTATTATTAGCTCGTCAATACGTGACCATTTGACAATAATGAATGAAGTCTCTGTTACCCCATTATAACCTTCGTATTGGGCAACACTACAGGTTCCTCTTCAAGTTTATTGGGAGATGATCTGAGAAGCCGGAATTCAAGCACTGGACATGGATGCCACCATAGCGAGTCGTTGAACTTGTGAGTTCACTTAACTCTCATCATCATCATTGTTATCATAAAGCTTCTTCTTTTGGCTGCCGTTATGAATTACTGCCTGTAGACAGGAAAAAGAACAATTTCTTCTTTTGGCTGCCGTTCATGAAACAGTCTACCAAGAGGTTGTACAACTGTTTATTCCATTCCCCCGGGAGATGGTCATGCAGAATAGCATGAATAAAGAGGTTTAGGAATCCCTACCGTACCGGCCGGTCAAACCGAAAATACCGGATACCAAACCCAAATGGTGGACGATTTTAGCAGTAAGAATCGGTTCAATAAAGGTTAAATTACGTTTTTAGTACAAAATACTCTACCATTCTTTTTTCCAGTATAACCTCTGGTACGGTTCCCCGAAGAGTAGAGAAGTATGAACATGAGGAGATGGCTCACTCTCTAGTGTCGGTTGTGCTCAGTAATGAACGTTTTGTCATCAAATATCGGTGTTTATGGGGAACCAATTTTAGAAAGAAACCAGCAAGCAATTCATTGTTCACGACCACTTGCCAAGTTTACAACTTGATAGGAACAAAGAAACAAGACTTCTGAAATATTACTACAATCCATATGATTTCTTTTTTTACTGTCTAAGAAATGGATGAATGCTGCATGAATAATCAATGATCAATCTATGACTCAGTGCCAAGCTTTGACAAACTGCTGCTCTCTTCAGTCATCTGCTTTAGGAATAGGGTCCGCTTTGTAAAGTAAGAGTGGCTCATTTCCAACATAAGCACAGGCCAGAGGCCTTCCAGCTGAAGTTGGAGGCGAGAATGCCAACTGAGAGCGTTCAAGCTTGCAATTCTCGCAGAAACTTTCCCTGCTTTAACGAAAGCCATGTTAACCACAACTTGCAGGCTGCAGCATTATATTGACATGGGAAAAGTGGGGAGAAGAGAGGTTGCAAGTTTTCCAGGACTGTTACCTAGCAGCATCCAGTAGTTGAGTGGCGATTCCTTTTCTTCTGTTTGAGAGAGTAACCCAGATTGCTCTGATGCCACACGCAGCAGGAACAGATTTCTCTTCACACACAACTGCGCCAGTAATAATCATCTCCTGGGAACTAACCGCGGTAATCTTCTTTGTGGCTGCTTCCCTTTTGAAGATGACATCTCCGAACTTGAGAGATCCCCCTGAGTTTGACCTTGAATACTTTCTAATAGTTCCAGAATCTGCCTTTTTATCTGTGGATGAAGGAGAAATCATCTTGAATGCTTCTTTTATTGGTTCAGCAACCAGGCAACCAGCAATTCGGTTGGATGAAACGTATAGATAGACCTGCAAAGAACAGTTGAAGGAAAACAGAGAACAATTTTCTCATTCCGAAATCTAGATCAAATGCAAAGTTGAGATAACAATGCATCAGAAATCCCCAGAAGCATAATTTTACCTTGCAGAGTTCATGAAAAATCCACCCATCATGGAGCTCAATCTCCATCATCTTTATTACATCCTTAACCTGCCGAGGAATATGCAACATTCCCTTTATTGTCACTGATATGAATCGCAAAGCTCTTAAATAGCGGTGATATGCATCCAGGGTTTTCGAAAAAACTGGCCCTTTCTAAAACCCTAATCACATTACCTTGGTTTTATGAGGCGAAGCATCAGAATTCAGTATCAAAATTATACGGTCCCCTCCACTGCAAGCCATGGGCACAGCCCTTTCGTTCTGCCAACCCTAGTTAACCAAAACCCCAACTCCACCAATTGCATCAAACCAGTGAAAGAGAGACTAGAATTTCGAGATATGGAGGGCTCTTAGTTCTTACCCGGAAGGGAATACCATGGGTGAAGTTTCTGTGAAATGATTTATGGACCTTCTCATCCTGATCATCTCCCGCAGCGTAATGAAACCCACAAGAGGAGCAGCTTCGGAGATTGAAATCCGATTGCCCCAAATCTAAATGGAGCTGCGCGTAGCTTCTCTTCTTGCCCAAAACCTTCCCACCCGGATTCCTTGGATGAGGTTTTGAGCAGACTTCACCTGAGTCAGACGCGTCTACCAGATCGAATCCAGATCCTCTAGCGCTTTCACTTTTCCGATCCCTGACAAAGGAACAAATAAAACAGAACCCGTTGCAACGAAAGGGGATAATGGATATGAGAAAGAAGATCCAGTTAACCGAAGAGCGAGCTGAAGAAGAAGGAAAATGGGTTACCCATTACTGGATCTGGGAGCTTTGCGGCGGCTGTAAGTGGTGACATCGCCGGACGGTGGGTCAGGCGCTGCGGCGGCGGCTTGTGAAGATGAAAACGAAGGCTTGAAGAAGGAGCTTAGTTTGGATTGCATTAATTTAGAGAAAGAAGAGAGGCGTGGGTGGGGTTTGTGCAGAAGAATTTGGAGTACCGGTTGGGGAGGGGAAAGATTCCTTCGATCCGTGCGCGCGGTTGGTTGTGAGCGGTGCACTTATTTCAAAAAGTGATACGTTCCCGCTTTCCAGAGCTCTACTTTCCCGCCTTTTTATTTCAGGAATGAGGTAGCTTCGAGAAATTGCATCCGGCTTGGCCCACAGATCCGTATCAGGTAATTAAGGGGTCGTTTGGATGAATCTTTTCCAAAATGAGGCAATTTGGTACAAAAGTCTCATTTTGAAAAATGAATTAATTGGGTGAGGAAATTTACACAAATTGTGCCGTTTGGAATGGATAGTGGGATTGGAAAATGTAGGTGAGTCATTCTTGACGATTTACCAATTTACCCTACCCACTCATCCACGACCACAATCCACATACATAATAGCTTCTTCATCACCCCCTCTGCTCACCCACCAATTTATCCTTCTTCTCTCCCCCCTACTCGTTTTCCGGCCTACAACGCCAACTCCAGCTTTCGAATGTTCTCTTGGACAAAGTCAAGCGAGGCCACGATTGGATTAACGCTCTCCTGTTGGATTAAATCTAGAATTAGGTCTATTAGAGGAGTGGAAGGACTCTGGCTAGGGATATAAATTTGGGATAGGTTTGATTTGGGAGATGATCTCGACGAGGGTGAGAGAGACGTCACCATTGACTTCAAGGTAAGCGCTGACAAAGCTCCTGAGTAGTGAGCACAAGGAATGGCATCCCGCTGCTGTGCACAAGCATTAAATGGCGATGTCTGTTCTTCTTCTTCTTCTTCTTCTTCTTCTTCTTCTTCTTCTCGAACTCCACAGGCAACAAACCCAGTATTCCTCTCCGTCTATTTGTTGCCTCTTTGGAGTCAATTATTGTTCTTGCATGCCGTAAAACCATAGCTTATCGTCGATGATGGGTTGGTCTTCATTGGTTCCTCAGCTTCACCATTAAACGAAAGAGAAGGCCAAGAAATGGAAGAAAAAAAAAGAAGAGGAAAGAGAAAGAAAGAGGGTTATATTGGGAAAGGGGAAGGATAAAACGAGACAATTGCAATTGTCTACCCTCCCCCCCACCCAGGTAATTGCAATTGCTCCATAACGGAACAATCTGAATTCTCCCACGTACAATTGTCTCGTTCTCATTTTATTTTGCCAAATGGGTCAATTTATCTCAATTGTCTCAAAATGAGTCAATTGGGTACAATTGCTCCATCACATTGCTTCATCCAAACGACCCCTAAGAATTTAAGATTAGGAGATAGTTTGCTTGTTGTATTTAAAAAATGATAGATTATGGAAAATATGTTTGATTTATGATGAATTTATTTTATTATGGATTTGTACATTTTATTGTTTGCATGATAGATTTAATTATATATTTATAATGAATTTGTTATAAAGATCAATTGTTATCGGAAAACCTGGTCAATAGTAGGGGAGAGTATGCAAAGAACGGAGAAAGATCCTAGCTACTAGTCAACTTCCCACTAGTCTAAATCATACTCTTCTGGGTTTAATCCCAAAGATAGAAGCCTAAGACACCACTTGAGTTCAGGTCGATTGCTTTATGCAAGGTATTATACAAGATACTGTCAAAAGTTTTAGCCAACTGGTTAAAATAAGTCCTCAACTTTGTCATCACTGAAACTCAGAGTGCATTTCTACCTGGAAGAAATATTACGGATAATATAATGGTGGTTTTTGAGTGTTTTATGTAATGAGAACATAAGAGAAGGCAAGAAGAGGTACGTGGCTGCTAAGCTAGACATAGTGAAAGCGTATGACAGGGTAGAATGGAGATTCTTGTAAGGAATAATGTTGAAAATGGGTTTCAATGCAGAATGGGTTCACATAATCATGCAATGTGTTACCACAGTGAACTATTCTGCATTGATCAATGAACACCAGACCACAGTGATCAAGCCATCCAAAGGTTTGCGACAAGGGGGCCCTATCTCCAACTATCTATTCCTCCTTTGTGCAAAGGACTAATCAAAATTGAGAAAAAGGTAGTGGAGCAAGGAAAAATGAAAGGAATCAAGATATGCAAGGATGGGTCGGTAATCTCTCATCTCTTCTTTGATGATGACAACATTTTTCCCCCTTGAAAACAAGGAGGAAGGAGAGATACTAAAGAAGATTGTACAAACCTATGAAAGGGTCTCTGGCCAACAGATTAGCTTGGGGAAATCTGAACTATCATTCAAAGAAGGGAGTAGGGTGATGAAGGTAGAGATGTTAGGGATGAAAATGGTTTCATACCACGACAAATATCTTGGTTTTCCCATAATAATAGGTCGATCAAAGAAAGCAGTTTTTTCACAACTTATTGATCGAGTGAGAATCAAGATAAAAATGTGGAAAGGTAAGCTTCTCTCGATGGCAGCAAAAGAAATTATGGTCAAGGTCGTAGCTCAAGCTCGGAACCTTTATGCAATGTCTGTTTTTCTCATCCCTCAAGGAGTTATAGAAGAAATTCAAAGTCTCAGAGCTAGCTTTTGGTGGGTGTGTGTGTGTGTGTGGGGGGGGGGGGGGGGGGGAGGAGCGGAGAATACATTGGATGAGTTGGACCAAGCTATGGCGACCTAAGTACGAAGGAGGAATGGGTTTCCAATATCTCCATGGATTCAATATTGCACTACTAGGAAGACAGGTCTGGAATCTAATGGAGCACCCAAAGTCACTTGCAACCAGGGTGTTAAAGGCTAAATACTTTCCTTTGCGACATACCGGAAGCAGATATGTTATAATCCTAGTTACATCTGGAGAAGTTTGATGGCAGCTCAGACATTAATCAAAGAAGGGACCATATGGAGAATAGGGAAGATATTTCGTTTGATCGGGATATAAGGAATGGAAGAAAAAACAGGGAAAAAACCTAGAGGAAAGATATGTCCCAATTGACTGGAAGAAATTTTGGCAATTACAACTGCCTCCTAAGGTGCGAGTTTTCACATGGCAATGGGGGTGTAATATTCTACCTACAGTGAGGAACATAAGCAGGAGAATACACGAAGCTAATGACGAATGTCTATTCTATGGTCTCACAGAAACCCAAGAGCACATAACAAGGGATTGCGATTGGGCAAGGAGGATGTGGAGACCAAGCTTTCTACAAAATCTTTTTCAAGCTTGGGGAGGACAAGAATTGTGAGAAATGGCTATGCGAGTTAATTGAAAAAGCAACCGCGGAAGAATTGTGTGCAATTCTAGTTACCTTGTGGTTTCTATGGAAAGAACGGAACAACCATCTATTCAATTACCTAGAGGAATACCAATTACAGCATCACACGGAAGAACGCGAAGGAGACCTTCAGCCGAATTACATCTGGGAGAGACCACTGCCGGGAAATTCAAGCTCATCGTAGATGCGGAAACTCTTCCAGAGGGTGGAATGGGATAAGGCCTGGTCATCAGAGACTGTGCGGGGAAGTTCCATATGGCGGCAGTGCACGGTACCCGAGCTAGCTGGTCGTCGGAGATCGCCAAAGCCCAAGCGATGGTCTGGATCTTAAAACTTGCCCAAGTGCATAATTTTTTGCCGCTGGTTGTAGAGAGTGATTGCTAAACAGCATTCCAGAAATAAACAAGCCGGGAACGACGAATTTGGAAGTGTAAGGAATCTGTGAAGAATTTAGAGAAAGGGCAAATCGCAAAGGAGGAGTGGAATGGAGATTCTAGGGACGAGGAGGAAATTAAGGGGTGCATCTGATGGCGTGTGTGAGTTGCAGATGGGAAGACACAGAAGTTTGGTTCACACGTCCACCAATCTTTTTGGTCCGTCAACTTTTAATTGATTACAATGTAACACCTAGTGTTTCTTGATGAAATGAATACATGCTAGTTATAAAAAAAATTATCCCTAAATTCATCAATTTTGGGATTTGAGTACCAAATTCATGACTCAAACCCAACAAGCAATTTATCCCTAAATTTTTTAAATGTTGCCCCAAAAACATCAAAGTTACTCTATTTTTTACAATAATCGAAGTTACTCTCTAGCTCTTTTATTCCTTTTTTTATTTTTCACCCAACAAATACATCATTTAAAAAAAATATTCTCCTAATTGTTAAAATAAATTTCATTGCAATATAAAAATTTTAAGAACATGAATTAATTAAAAATAAAAATAATTTGGCCATTTTCGAATTCTAAAGTCAAACCTTAGTCCAACAGTAGTCAAAATGAAGTAAAACATTTGATCCACCAGTGGTCAAACGATATCAAAATTTTGGTCCACTAGTGGGCATCCTGAAAATATGTTTGCGATAAATCACAAAAATTATTTTGGTCGACCTAAGGTCACACCGAAATCGACTATTCGTTTGATAAGAGGTCAACCGACACTGATTTTTCAAACCAGCCACATAGAAATCAACAACTTCCCACCTAATGCAGTCGAGAAGAAATGTTTTGTTAAACCCCCTTTTCAAACTAGCCACTAAGTTTAATCAGAATATTATTTCCCTTATCCTACTTCTCTTCCTTAGTCCCTGTCTTTGAAAACCCATTTCTCGTCTTCCATACTAATGTCGCTAACTTCTCGCTCTCTTTCTCAACTTCCTTCTCCAATTTCTTTCCCTAAGAAAGATCAGTCCCTAATTGATCCTCCATTCCCAATCCTCTAAACGTACTCGGGAGCACCCTAGATCACAGGGTTTCTAACAGTGGTATTAAAGCATGTTTTGTGCTTCGAACTTGAAAGGAAGAACATGATGATAAATTCAACGGTGAAGACCGCGCAAGAGAAAGCTGCATAGAAGAAGGGTAACACATCATCAAACATGGCGAAGCATGCGTAGGAGAAGAACTTCCCGCCGCCGAGTGGGGCTGCCATCAAGAGGTTCAACATTAAACACCTTACGGATTTGGCGGTAGTCAGTGAGGTTATGAAGATGGTGGTGGATTCTGCAGTTGAAGCTAGATGAAAGTGTGCGAGACGGGGCATATACTCTCAGAGATACTACTACACAATTGAGAGAAGTCCTGAAGGAGATTCCACATGATGTGCTGGAACTAATACATAGGGCGTTGGGGTCTCGGGAAGGGTCATGACGTAATGTAGGCGCAGAAGAAGCCACAAAAAAT